AGATGCAAACTCATTGGTCTTATAACTCATACTCTGAGCCCATAAAAGTGATCAGAAAAATTAATTGGGATAACCAGTAAATACACACATACATACCTATACATACCATACATTTATGACTCTAGAATAAAGCTTGAGCTCACATCTATTATATTCATCCAGAAAATTCTTTAGTTTTTTTACTTGGCTGGAATCCCCTGATTGCAATCTTCTTCTCATGACTTCCATTTGGCTTTCGAGAAATATGTTTATACTTTTGTATTCATGGATCAAGCGCTTTCTTTTTGCTGATCTTGCCTGTAAATTTAATGTGTTTCGAATTCGTCAATCTTTCCATGCACATGATTTATAAAGAAAGCTAGCTGTCCTTAATTTAAATGTTTATTTCTCTTCCTATTCCTCCTTGTACTTTTTTCAACAGTTGTTGCATCCTATGCAGTAACCTTCCAAACAACCTAGTTTTTTCCACCTTTTCATGTTGCGTGGGTAAGCTTGTGAAAAGTACTATTTGGTATGTCAGGATTGCAAGAATCCATTTAAATGATTCCGAGTCGGCTTGCAAGAAGATGGGAATATCAACCATTGTAGACCAGGCTACTTTAATTTATTCATAATATATATTTTTCAATTTGCTAATCGCATGATTTTCATTAACTACTCATTAGAGTGGAGGATTCGAATTACTGTGACCAACTTTTTTGTTAAAAATCCATATAAGTTAAGCTTAGGCTTAGCATGATGATATCCATGACGAATCCGATCTTTCGTCTGAAGTAGGCTATGTATAACTACTCGGTCATTCCACAGGTCTTTAGTATATTTCTTTTGTTTATAAGCTCTATACCTAAAGAAATTTTCGCGCTTATGTACACGTTCCCTTGCCATTTTTATTTACTATAGTAAATTGATGAAGGCATTTGTGAACTCTGCTAAAAGGTCACTAATCGCCTTCTATGATACTATGAAATCACCCGATAGAGATGATAGTAGATCGACAGTGAGGATAAGGATCCTTCAAACTATCACTACTTGTGTAATGATTACTCCTAATGAATAAAATGGCCAATGATGGCCGCAGACAATCCAAAGGAGACGAGGCATTTATTCAGCAAACAACGTTCTAAGACAGAAAAAATAAAAGCACGAAATAAGCACATATGTATTTACTTGACCCTGGAATGTGGAAATCATAGTAATAGGCATTTAAAGGTAATTTTAACATACTCAAATTCAGATCCTTGAGAATAGGATATGCCGGAGCATTTTATAATAGAGCTAAGTAAAGGCGCCAGATTCGGAAGACGGATCCAGTCATTAAAAATTAATAAATATTCATCCAGTATAACTATGCACGGTTATAAGGCATAGTGTATGACGTATTTGGTTATCGATCAACGCGATCAGACAATAGATATAGAAGTAACTATACTTACCATCCCCCTGTTTACTATATACAGCGGCAGTGACACTGTAAAAAGATGCAGCAAAATCGCCTGTGGGATTTCTGAATGTCTGCGCAAAGCGATGATTCTGCTGTTCACTTGAGTCAGATCCACTCCTTGATAAGCGACGGCGAAGAAATCGTAGATTTACGCGTTGATAACCCGGCAAAGCCAAATCAAAATCCTCATCGCTTGAATCAGAAAGGGCATTAAGATTCTGCATCCTTACATCTCCCTAACGTGGAATAAATGAATAAAATCTATAAATATTCAATGCTAGACAAATAAATAAAATAGGTTTCCAGCATATGATCAGAGAGATACTTTGATATCTAAGATGCAGCCTAGCACAAAAATGATAAGCAGAATAGAAGAAATATCTTTAATAGGGGCCAACCGGCTTTGCATAGTACTCATCAGTCATAATACAAAAAAATAAAAAGGCAATGTGTATAAAAAAACAAAAATAGATAAGTTCGCCAAAATCGAACAAACTTAGTTAAGCCAAAGTTTATTTTTTAAAGCCATTGATTTGATATGTGGAATGATATTATGAACATTTAGAATTGCTTTCAAAAAGGGTAAAATGAAAATGAAAATCCTCATACCTGTTCTTCGCGATCAGATAGGCCATTACACCTCTGTGTACCAACTCTGTACGGACCATTCGCTGTACCCAAATCATCACGCATCAATGCCTCTTTAAGTTTGCTTGGGCAGAGATTGGGTGGCACGAAGCAGTCAAGATATGCGGAGGCTATATTCGAAGACGTCAAGTAACGTCGATCAAAAACCCTAAGATGAATAACGGATATAAAATTAGATAGTAAGAAATAGTAAGAATGGAAAAATAAAATGAAAAATGAAATGAAAAAATTAAGTTGAGTTAATATTTTTTAAATAAAACAATCATCCAAAATTTTTATAATACAAAGAGCAAAAAAACTAAGCCAAACGAGGAAATCCTATTTAAAAGCACTGAAAATAGTAATAAGTATGTATATTTCGATTCAATGCTGCCA